TATGGAAAATGTACCTCCGAAGGAATTGTATATAGTGTCATATCTTCCAAACAATACTTTCACTCTATTTGTGCTCCCCTCACAACATAGACTCCCAGTGCACATACTGACTGCAACCTCCTATCTTATGCACCTTACCAGACGATAAAGTCCACTCGCATTGAAGAGGGCTCCTCTCACTCTACAGAGAATCCAGTTCTCAATGGCATCATAACATGTAGCAAAGTAGAACCATAATAGTGTTGTAGGCAATGATAGGGATATGACTACTTTAATAATAAAATAATAATAAAATTGTGCTTACAATTAAATGTATTCAAATGGCAAGCAGTATGAAAAACCTTTTCCAAAATGACAGCTCAGTAACGTCCGGTTTACGTCCGATGTCACAAACTGACGCGTTTCGTCACTTCCGACTTCATCTAAGGCCCTCAGATGAAGTCGGTGTTGGATACCATGCATTGTAGATAATGCACTATATGCAATTTATATTTCTTTGAGGGCATTAAGTGGAGGAAGAGGATTTTTATCACTTGTGGAGAAAGAATATTCATTAAGAAGATATCAGCACTACTGGGTGTTTAGGATACGGAGACGCTGACTAAGAGTTGGACTGTGCATTTTTATATCCACTGTAAGCTTTTTTTAAATTTATCAACACCCTCTGCTAATATCGCCAATTGTGGATGAGAGTTACACACTCTTACTTCTCTAATAGTAAAGAACCTCTTACACAAACACCGCTGATTGCTCAGTTCTCGAGTTCACTCTGAACACAGAATGGTGACTGTCAGTCTCCAGCTCTGTGCTCTTCACACTCCAACACTAATTGGAGCTCTGGACTGTGGAGGGCGTGGGAGTGACTGGCTTAGGCTTCCAGCAGCATGCTGAGAGGATGAACCAGCAGCCAGTCAGGCATCTGGGTGGATCCTGACATTAAAGTAAGGATCCCTCTAGATTCTGGACTGGCCCTGTGAAGTTAGCCAACAGCAGACTTTAGCCTGCTATTGGCTGAATATGGGAATGGCAGAACTAAGTACACTCCTGTGACCCACAGGAGAAGTAAGGCCAAATAGGCTTTGGCCCTACTTCTGTAAGATTGAACTGCTTCTCATCCAACTTCATTGGCCGCGTGTTTTCTTTAGAGACCTATGATTAAATTGTTTTCTCCCTATATTAGAATCACCATTTAGACATTTGTACATTTTGATCTCTTTCCGTCTTAAGTGTCACTCCTCCAGGGAGAATAAGTTCAAAGTGGAACTTTTCCCATAACAATTTGATAAAAATAATGTACTTTAGCAAGAAACATACATTCCACATTAATAATTATGCTACCAAAATTAGTGTGTGCTGTAAATTGCCTTCAGCATTGTTCCTGTTTCTTCCTGCTGGGGGCTGCCATTTTGCTGAACCTCAGCACCCCTGAGCAGCAGTAAATCTTTAGCCTGCCAGCAGATCAGCCTCTACAAATTTTTTATAGTGCCCAAAAACAAAGAGCATGTGCAGAGCAGGGTGAGACAGCGTATCACTTGATTTTAACAGTACAGGCCAGCCTTTCTCAACATTTTCAACACAGAGGAACCCTTGAAATAACTTTCCGATGTCACGGAACCCCTAGGAATAATTACTATATCTACAACTCATGATACATTAGTATGATGGACACTGAGAAGAATGTTCCTTACACTTGTGATCATTGGGAAGAATTCCCTATTAAAGACAGCTAAAAAAATCAGTGGTGTCAGTGGGAACTTATTTGAGAGGCAGAAATTGCTCATTGTTCAAGAAACCCCTAGCAACCTCAAATGGAACCCAGACTTCCATGGAACCCTGGTTGAGAAATCCTGGAATAGGCCAGCCTGAAGTGATTTAGCAAGACTTCATTTTCTGACTTCCACTTGAATTATCTGCTTAAAATTCCACTTTAAGGCGATAATAGACAAACATGTCTACATGAGGATGCATCGGTTGATTATCTGATTGTTAGTATAGTGCTTTTGACAGCTGATTCCGACTATTTGGAAACCAAAAACCGAAGGTGCAAGCTAGAAAATGTTTATTGTACATGCACACGTCTGATTCTCTCTCAATGTGTACAGTAATCATATGGAAATGTAATCTATTAGAAAAAAAAAACCACACATGATCAGAAGCAAACAATGACCCTACACTTCGTCTTCTACTGTGCTAGTACGTAGCTACGTTTGCTTTTGTCGGTCGAGAATGTTCATATGCGTTAATACCATTGTCGGTTACATCACAATACACCTTCGTGGAAAATCAAAAGATTGTTCGTCTGATTTTCTCATAGTGTGTAATAGGCATTAACCACTTGATCTGCGGAAGATTTTACCCCCTTTTAGGATCATGCCATTTTTTGCTGTTCAGCACTGCACTATTTTAACTGGTAATTGTGCGGTCATGCAATACACAAATAGAGCTTTCTTTTGGTGGTATTTGATCACTACTGGATTTTTTATTTTTTGCAATATAAATGATCCAAAAAAAGATCCAAAATTCTGAAGAAAAAACAATATCTTCTACTTTCTGTTATAAAACATATCAAATAAAATACTAATTCTTCATAAATGTAGGCCAAAAAGGATTCTGCTACGTCTTTGGTAAAAAAAAAATCCTAATAAATGTTCATTTGTTTGTTTGCATGAAAGTTATAGTGTCTACAAACTATGGTATAGATGCTGGATTTTTTTGTAATTTTCATACTAGTAAAGGCAGTGAAAAGCGACTTTTAGTGGGACTGCAATATTGCGGAAGGCAGTCTGACACTAATGGACACTGGTGAGAAACTGACTAACTGCCATTGACATCTCCAGTGACACTAATACAGTGCTCAGTGTTAATAATATACAATGTCACTGTACTAATGACTCTGGCTGGGAAGGGGTTAACATCTAGGGCGATCAAGGGGTTAAATGTCTGCCTAACAATGTTTAGTGTGTGTACTATGTGCTGTTTTACTAAGCAATGTGCCAGTTTTTACTTCCTGCTTTGCAGAGAGAAAAAAAAACAGCACATCACTGCTGTCTGAAGAGACACAGAGCTCTCCTGTAATTTGCTGAACCGATCAGCGGGTTCCGGCTTGTGCTGCAGTGAATGACAGCACAGTCTTCAGGGTCTACGGCATATGCCTGATCAAACCCGGAAGAAAGCCACAATGTACAGGTACGTTATTGTGCTTGTACAAGCAGTGCAGTCCTCATAGCATTATGGGCCCCTGGGCAAAGTAATGCTATGGGGCCCCTACCAGCCTGCCCAATTCACACACCTACTCTCAAGAATTAAAGTATAAATAGTTGATATAGCGCGCGCCCCCTACCTGCTAATGCAACATCATATTTACGTGATTTTGCACAGTGCGGCCACCCTGTGGCAATACATCTGCTATGGGGCGGTCGTCAAGTGGTTAAGACATCCCTGTGTACAAGCCAACCTGCTGCATTATGTACTGTGCTGGGCCAGCAAGCTGTTAATGCCTGTAGTCGTTCTTTGTAACTGAGGTCCTCCAGCCCCTTTATTACCATTGTTGCCCTTCTCTGGACTCTCTCCAGTTCCAGCACATCCTTCCTGTGGACTGGTGACCCAGACTCAAGATGCGGCTGAACAGAGTTCAGATCAGCTCTGGTATTGGCCTATTTTTAAAGCAGAGTTCCAGCCGTTTTTGTGTTTGTTAAAAGTCAGCAGCTACAAAAACTGTAGCTGCTGACTTTTAATAAACACACACTTACCTATCCCAGAGTTCAGATATGTGCTCACCCGTGCCGTCCCTTCTCTTCTTCTCCCCACGGTGCTGGCATCTTTACTGTGGGCATCAGGCTGTGACAGCTTGCAGCGTCACAGCCGGGTGCCCACTGCACATGTTGCGCCTCCTGATTGGTCTCTTCTGGGACCTGTGAATGTTCCCAGGAGACTTTGGGAGGAAGGCCGAACCTCCTGAGCCGAATGTGGGAGCAGGTACCTGTTAAAACCAGGTACCCGCTCCCCCCACAAAAGTGCCAAATATGGCAGTGGAGGGGGGAGGAGGCAAACAAGCAGATCTTCCAGTTTTGGGTGGATCTCTGCTTTAAGGAACAGTCGATACCCCCCTTAAAACTGGTTGCCAGGTCAGGGTGGTCCTCCTGCCATTCGATCATGTCTGGCCTGATGTCTATGAGCATCCTAACACATACTTATGTATGACTTATGTGGGTGACTGACAAAGTAAGGAACTTCAGTGTTCGATGTCATTCCAAATGTTTAGCATGCCATGAAAAGTTGAAGAGTTCCTTGAGAAGCAGAGGCTGAGCGTGCTCTGAGCCTAGATGGCTGAATAATCTATCCCACAGACAGAACACACAGGAAATGTCCCGTCTCAGGAATGCATCCCGTATCTTCACACATTAACCCTCCAAATGCTGCAGGGAGCAGCCCTATCACTGAACACTCCCTCCTCATGAATCGTTCTACAGCCCCCCCAAACTCCCCATTATATGACTAGCACCCCGGTCCTTTCATGTCTTCTCCTCAGAACTTTAATGTCGGGATACAAGGTTTCTGTCACCACGTGTGTGACTTACCGTTCTAATACGTTCTCCATTGCTGTCAAATGTAGTGAGTTGAGGCCTGCCCCCCCCCCTATAGAGAGCCTACACACAGCACCCCCAGCTACACTGTACTTCTGCACCCTCTCCTCAGCCATGTCCACACTCAGGAGCCCAATTCACGCCACAGCACAGCCGTGAGCGCTGTATCCAGCGCAACACGAACACCTCGCCCCTACCCCCCTCGCTGGCCCCATTGGCTGAGCCGTGCCTCTCATAGGTCAGCACTCCCCTCTGATTGGCTGCCTCCTTGCCCAACACAGCTATATAAAAAGAGGAGGGAGGGTAAAGAGCGCAAAGCGAGTGATCGGTGCAGAGCGCGATCTGCGGCTGGGGTGGAAAGATTTTCTTTTTTTTTTCCCCCTCTGGCTACAGTTTTATTGAAGTTGCTTGTCAATCATGGGCAGCATCGAGTCCAAGAGCCAGAACGCAGAGACCGCTACAGCCAGCAAAGCAGCAGAACAGGTAAGACGATGTCAGATTTCTGGCTGATCAAAAATCTACAAGTGGATGTCTGGCTGTCATCTGGGCGCGTCGATTGTCTGTAGACGGGGGGAGGGGGCTGTCTGCTTGTTTTGGGGGTAATACGTGACCTGTTACATGCTGTCTACTCGTTCTATGGAATGAATAGAGGGGATCTAGTATGGGGGGGGGATCGCTGAGTGCAGCGGAAGGAGGGGGTCTGCTTTTGACTGATGAGCTGTATATGCTGTATATGCTGATGGAGGGGTGTGAAGTGCAGGGGGTCTTGATGAGATGTAATCTGGTGGTGGAGTGCAAGGAGGGGTCTTCTTGTGACTGGTGGGGTGTAGGGGGGGTCTTCATGTGGCTGATGGTCGGGGGAGGGTTTATCTTCATGTGGCTGATCTACCTTACTGATAAACTGTAGTCGATTGAGAAATATGGATTATAAGAGGGTTGGGGGGTCTCAATGATCTGTAGTCTGATGCAGACGTACAGGGGGATTTTAATCTGTAGTCTGATGGAGGGGTGTGGAGTGTAGGGAGGGGGTCTTCTTGTGACTGATGTGCCATACTGATGAGCTTTATAGTCTGATGGAGGGGTGTGGTTAGCTATCAGCTGGTTAGATCTGATACCTGGGAAATGCTTCGAGGGATTTTTTTTTTTTTTTTTGCTGGGGATCTTTTGGACTTTTTTTTTTTTTTTTTAAAGAGAATGAAGTCACTGAAGATTCCTTAGGAGTCTTCATTCTGTAGAAGCCAAACTGTCAGGATGAATAGGAGATGTGATTAAAAAAAAAATCCCCCAAATAAAACCAGTGTTTCATCTTTCTGTACAGGAAAATGGGCATGTGAAGACAAACGGGGATGCTGTGCAGAAGCCGAATGGGGATGCTGCTGCTGAATCCAATGGCTCTGCGGAGCCAGTTGCCGAGGAGGCGGGATCTGGGGAGACTATTGAACAAGCCCCACCTGCCAATGGAGATGCCAAACCAGAGGAGCCCCCAGGAAAGCAGGGAAAGAAAAAGAAGTTCTTCAAGAAGCCGTTTAAGCTGCCTTTCCGCAAAAACAAAAAGGAGGCTGCTGATGCTGCTGCAGCTGCAGAGGAGAGCCCAGCTGGGGAGGAGGCTGCTTCCCCCAAGGAAGAAAATGTTGACAAGGCAGAGGAACCACAAAGCGAAAATGTAGCAGAGTCTGCCAGCGCCCCTGAGGATGCCAGTACCACCTCTGCGGCTGCACCTGAAGAAGCTCCTGCCACTCAGCCTGAGCCTGCTGCCGCCCCTGCTGAGCAGAGTGAACCCCAACCCAGTAAGGAGCCAGCTGCTGAGCCCCCCAAGGAGGAGTAGCAGGGGGAACCCTCCATCAGACTGCATTGAGCCCTTTTTACACCTGTCATTCACCACAGCCCTGGGTACTGTATCTAACCTATGCAGGGTGTGAACAGACCTTTATGTGCCAAAAGTTTCTGGTCCCCCTTCTGTGAAAATCTTCACTACCCTAATTATGTCTTATGTTAAAGCTAAAACTCGTGTACTGGTGAGGTTTAGGACTGATCGGTAAAGGTGTGAACTCTTATCATCCAGACTGAAACTCATGATCTGTTCCATCGACAATCGTAGCTTTGAGGACAACCCTAGTTGGAATTTGAGGTGGACACAGGGGGTTGCTTTCCCAGAAGTGGACTTTATTCCAAATGCTAAGCAGTGACCCTGGAACCAGTTATTCAGAGGCGTCTGAGCATGGTAAACTTTCCCTTCTCAGGGTGTGAGCTGTGAATTCACCATGCTACAACCTACTAAAGTTCTTCTGGTGTGTGTGAAATGAGAATGTTTTTCCTGTAAATACTTTTTTTTTTTTATGGTCTGGTTCTGTGGTGACTTTTTCTAACTACTTTAAGTTGTTATTTTTTCCATTGTGATATTTTAAATAAATTTTAATCCCCCTTTACTCCCAAGATGTCTAAAGTTATTTTGTGGCACAACAGTCTTTCTATTGCTCCATTTGTTCATGCATTGAGCCATTTGTCTTTTTCAATGTAGGTCTCAGACAGCAGTTTTAGGGTTGTTTAATAAAAGGGGTTTTAATGGCTTTTCCTCCTTACTGCAGGAAAGCATTAAACTAGGCAGGGTGGAGAATATAAGAAATTGTAAAGGTAGCCAGCTTTAACTTGTGCTATGTACATAGGGCAGGTTAATTGAGCTCACTATCCAGTCAGTATTTTCAAAAGATATTGGTATATTTTGTATCCTAAAACCTAGGTTGTGATTTCATGGTTCCTTCATTAAAATTTAGACAGTGTTGCTAAGCCACTTTTTTGTTGTATTGGTCATGTCCTTCCATGTGGCTATTCTGGTTTGGTTGGACATAAACTGAATAAACCACAGGCTTACAGGATGTTTACTCTAAATCTTCAGATTGTTTGGGGCCAAGTTGAACTCCAATGGGATCACTTAGATCTTCCAAATATGCAATATGTAGGCCTAATAAACAAAATGGATATAAACCAAAGGAATTAACCATTACACAGGGGAAATATAGGAGGTTGTACAGTTAGACTTTTATACATGGCTAACTTTAGTTTTAGCCTGACCACTTGATCTGATCTACACTTGCACAAAAACTAGGGCAGAGTGGGTATTTTCTCATTAGTCAACACTCTTAATATCCAGTAGTAGAGATCTTCCTAACCGAATTTTGCAGCAAATATCTTACTTTCAAAGACTTGCATTAATTGGTTATAGCCAGAGTTGTTTGGCTATTAGGATTTCTTTAAAAGGTTTTTTTTTTTTTTTTTTTTTTTTTTTTTCTCTTGGGGGGGGGGGGGGGGGGGGGGGGTTGTATATCTACCCCAAGATAAGTTATTCACAGTCTTATCTGCTTCTTTTCTATTTCTTTTGTACACTGTGCGTGATGGCCTATCACATCTAGAAGCTGTCTCTTATTTTAAAGACCCAGACTCTAGTGCTGTCATCCTATACTTTCCTTGATTGGTCCTAGACCTGGAACAAGCATACAGGTTGGAATCTGTATACCCTCAACGACATGCTTGTTCTGGGTCAACATAATAGAAAGATAGGGCTTTTCATGAAAACCCTGGAGCCTACACTTTCTTTTTAAAAAAACAAAAAAAAACCTGGGAATAAGAGTTGCTACAGGTTTCAAGACTATCCTTTGCCATCCAGTAACTTTGCAAGTCCTTTTCCCTGAATAACCTAGTGCTAGATTCATGCAGATTTAATCTTTTGAGTAGTAGCGAAGCAAGCATATAAAAACCTGTACAAGGACAGTATTATACAGGATTTATATAGCGCCAACAGTTTGTTCAGCGCTTTACAATATAAATCTATCCTTCCAGATTCTGTTTAAAAAGCAAACTGATAAAGGGAGCTTTTATAGTTTGGGTTTTTTTTTTTTTAAAGCAATAAGACTCCATTGCATAGGAGGGATGTGGGTCTTTTGAATCAGTTGTTGTAATAAACTTTGCAGGCTCATTGGTTTCACTGAAGCTCCTCCAGAAGCCTTGGTAAGTATCTTGGCAAAGGGCTTACAGCTAAAGGCCTATGCATAAGGCTGCTCAAAATTTACTTCAAGTTTGATACAAACTGCTGAAACTAGCAGTGAGCAAACCTCATCAATACTGGTAAGTACTGTGCTGTTATGGACACAACTTGGCAGTTTTAATAACTCATAGCTTTTTTTTTTTTTTACTGAAAATTTAAAGAGGCCACTTCCGCCATTAAAACTCTTGTTGGAACTGCATCAAGTAACCAGTCCAGGAAAACTGCATACTTTTAGTAATTCCTCAAAAAATTAAAGCAGGTTTTTACTTTCTGAAAATCTATTTTGAGCTTTTTTTTTTTTTAAATAAAATCAGGAGGTTTATACTTGCCCGCTCTCTGCAATTGAAGTGAGCAAGATTTTTACCTAAACATTTTTTACCTTAATACAAGGAATATGGTAAGGTTAAAAATGTTTAGGCTTTAGATCCACTTCAAGGGATTGTTAACACCATGTACAATGACCTGTGTTTTTTTTTTTTTCCTTTTAATATTTTTATTGGAGTTTCAAACAGTTATACAATAATCACAACAGTATACTCAAAGACAGAGCATTACACTGATCAAACAAAGAAGAAATAATCAAGCTTAAAGGACATGTTGCAAGTTTTGAGATAAAGGAGAAGTGGCTAGCCAATGGGGCCTTCTAAGCCACATCTGCTAATACCAGGAGGAAAACGGGTTCTTAGAATGGTCAGAACCACTATGAGATGCATGGCAGTCATGGAGGTAGCGAGATGTGGCTAAGAATAATAATGAGATGGAGGCATGTGCAACCTACTCCTAATGAGGCAGCTCTACCATAAACCGACCATACCACAGTTTGCATCACTAAAAGGGGGGGGGGGGGGTAGAGGGTCAGGCCCAACTCGGAGATCCCTCTCCTGCAAGAAGACACCCCACAATGGAAAGCTCCCCATGGGAGAGGGAACCCCAGCACACAAAGCAAAAGGTATATGACAAACACCATGTAATCATATTTTTGTAAAACCATTTTGTAATGCTGTAAGTGAGAGTCAGTTGTTCGGAAACCAGTCATATGGCCGATAGCTAATGAAGATGACCTGAAAGCATCCTATTCAGTAAAATAAGAGGGAAACGGAAGAAGATAACCATTTGGCCTATTGGAGGTACGTGCTCTGCTCCAGAGGGGGAAGAGACCTGGATATGAACAGGCCCCATTTTTTGTGCAACTGCGTCGTCAAAACTTTTGGTGACAAGTCTAAGTCAAGTTTCTCTTTACGAAGAAGATGAAGTTGATCTTGCTTGACCTCCAGGACTGTGGGTGGAGTGGATAGCCATTTTCTGAGAATGATCCGCAGCGCAATCAGAGCAAGTGGCTAACCATGCCTTATTGCGCTGTATAATTAGTGATTGAGGTCTAGGCTGCGCCAGGCAGGTAAAATTGCCAAAAATAAGCAAAAATGCGTTGGGTGGTAATCCGTGACAGAAGCAGCGAATAGCTCTAGTTGTTTCCAAAATTCAGGAGATGAGTGGACAATGCCATAACCTGTGGAGCAGCGTAAGTCTTGGAGTTTTACACAGAGGACAGCTATTCTGGATCTGGGGAAGTGAAGACGTCAGGTGCAGGACGTAGGATCTGTGCATAATTTTAAATTGTTGCTCTCTCCAGAACTTGTTGATGAATGCACACGTGGTGGCATATCCCACTAGTATCCAAGTTATTGCATCGGGGGAGAGAAGATCCTTGTTCCAGGAGGCCGCAGAAGAGGAGTAAAGGGACTTGGACAGGCAAAGGTTCAGTGGTTTATAAATGTCCGAGATCTTAAAAGTTTTACCCTTCAACAATACATCAAGCATTGACGTCCGAAAACCTTCTAGGTCTGTTCTGGCATATGCTGGAAATATGAGCAATGGCTTATTGAACCATTAAAAGGTTATGGGACGGCAGGTGATAACGCTCTCTAATAAGGGAGAGGGGGGGAGGGTGGAGCCTGAGGCAGTGTCGAATAATTAGGCAAGCTGCTTCAGCCCATTTGGAGCCATGAAAGCATAGGCTGCATGCAATTGAGTCATAGGGAAGAATGGGTAGCCATGGACTGGGAGATAACAGGAAGTCCAGGGGGACAGACCCAACTTGATGCTTATTTCCTTCCAGGCTACCAGGGTGTCTCTGAGTAGTGAGTTGTGCTTTATGTCTGATGGAAGAAAATGTGTTTGTAGTGTAATATGGCAGAAAGATCATGGGAAGACACCATTTATGATTCTATGATAAAATTAGAGTATGTGGAGGTTTGGAATAACCAATCCATACATATCCTAAGTAAACGTGACAAATTATAAGCTCTGTTAGGTAGGTTGCCCCCCCCCCCCCCCCCTTCACTCCTCGGAAGACATAATGTTTGTAAAGATATAAGAGTACGACGATTGCGCCATAGAAATTTAGCTAAAGTTCTATGTAACCGCTGTATTTCAACCTGACAGAGTAGTAAAGGAATGGTTTAGAGCGGATAAAGGAGTTTAGCGAAACTCACCCTTTTAAACAAGTGACATCTTCTGAAGAGAGAAAGTGGGAGACCCGTCCATGTCTCCAACTCTCCTATAATTTTCAAAATCACCAGAGAAAAATATAAGTGGTAGATGGAGGAGGGTTGTTTTCCCAATCTTAATGCCCAGGTAAGTGATACGATGTGCTGCGACTTGAAATATAGATGACTCAGCCCACAATGGTTATCTTGTGTGATAAATAGGCAGAATTTCACTTTTCCCAAAGTTAATCCAAAGACCCAAGCAAATGCAAAAACGTGTGAAGACCTTTTGTATGTGTG